TTCTGAATGTAATTCATGTTAATAGGTAAGGTATGTAATGAGAAGTGTATTTGGTGACCCAAATAAAGCTCCACCCCCACTGGAGAAGCTTAGTCCTGAAGCAGTAGTTTCAGTCCTATGGAAAGGGGAAGGATCACTTGTTGAAGAGTTAGTCCAGTGCATGGCTCCTCATATTGGAAGAGGGCTTGCTGAATGACTTAAAAGAGAGATTCGAGAGCATGGCCCTTCTGGATCTGTAGATTTCCGGAGAGAACTGCAGAAATCTTTATTATGGTAAGCGGTGTGGTTTACTGTCTCTTATAGCTGATGTTTATAATGATTTATGATTGTCACTCATTACCCCCCACCCCCCTTCTTTTACAAGGTTGAGGGATGAAGTTCGAAGTCTTCCATGTACATACAAGTGTCGGCATGATGCAGCTGCTGATTTGATCCACCTTTATGCTTATACAAAATATTTTTTTAGAGTTCAGGTTAGTTGAAATTTCGTAGCAGTGCTCTCCTGTATTTGATTAATATGGAGGTGATTTTCTTTGCTTTGACTAAAAGAGTTCTTCACATGCATGCATACAGGACTGTAACTTCTCCTGTATACATTAGTCCTCTAGACTTGGGCCCCAAGTATACTGATAAGTTGGGGTCAGGTCTCGCAAGACATGGTGAAAATTATTGTTTGGGGCAGTTGATTTATTGGCATAACCAAGCTAATGCTGATCCAGATTGCAGCCTAGGGAGGGCGAGAAGGGGTTGTTTGTTGCTTGATATTGCCTCCTTCTATGCCAAGGTTCAGAAGCCATCGCATCGTCAACGTGTCTATGGCCCAAGAACCCTCAGATTTATGCTTGCAAGAATTCCTGATGGAAATCATGCAAAAGATCCTGATGTAAAGATCCCTCATAAATTCCATGTATAAGACCTTACATTTGTGGTATGTGGATAATGATAAAATAACACTTGTCCGTTGAGCTACAAACTTGGGTCCCTATTCTTGAGTCTTTTGTTTTTTGGGGCAAAGCTGAAAACTTTATTCACATGAAGAAGGGTCAAATAGATCTACCACTGGGAATACCTATAATGTCAGGCAATATCTGTAGTACTTTGGGAGGGCTCATCCGGGAAGCCCAAAGTAAACAAAAAAGATTCATTTACATCATTGAAAAGCTTAAATAAAAGATCGTTAGCCTTATTCCCTTGATACGTATTCAATTATTCATATATAGTTCAAAACATTATTTTCTCTTCTAGATTCTGGCCTTTGAGTTTGAGCCAGCCAGATTTCTTGGAGACTCAATGCTTTTACCATTTATTCTAAAGGCTGGCAGATAAGTAATTGACTCTTAATTTTTGTACAGGAACTTACGTTCTTATAATTACTTCTCGTAAGGAAGTTGGCAGCTATCTTGGTTTTTCCATTTTCCAGGTGATGTCTATGAGGTTTCTATCGTGCAATGATGCTTTGTAGCTTTCAACTGCTCAAGAAGTAGGGGTTTCTTTTGCCAATTTCCCTGGAACTAGAATCTACAAGTTTTCCTTGTAAAGATTGAATTGCATTTGTTTGGGCTTCATATGCTGAGAATGTGCATATATGATTTTGAAATTCCAGAAGGCTGCTGCAAGGGGACCATTGAAAGTAACATATGAAAAATACTTGCATCCTGATCAAAGTAATGTTGCAGCAATAGAAGCAATTGACAGGCTTCCTCCGTGACATCAAGTCCTATGGGAGCTCAGATTATGACACAATGCGGTACAATGTGGACATGAAATTCAGGAAGATGGCATTAGGCAGGCAGGAGTACATTAGACTTTCTTTCCCTCGTAAGAATATATGGATCTTGAGTTTATAAGAAGAGAGAATGCGAAGAAAAGATTCACTTGCCAGATCAAATCCGAGCTGCCAAAAGCAAAAGAGTGGAATGTGTAGCAGTCACAAACTCTTTGGTTCAGACCCTACTGAATTTTTGTACAAACCAAGAAATTATCAAATTGAAAATAAGATGTATTTGTGATTCAAATTGTTTGAATGGAGAATGGCTTTTTAAATTTTATTGTAATTGATGTTTTTTCATCTTTTGTATTTTATTTCAGTTTAAATGAATATATAGAGAAAACAGGTAATTTGAAGAAAATTAAATATAAATAGGTCATTTGAAGAAAAATAAGAAGCCCGTGGCTGTCGCTAAAAACAACCTTTATACCGGCAGCCGCAAAAACTGCCGCTAGAACGTCTAGCGACAGTTCTTTTAGTGGCAGTTTGCCGGCTGCCGGTAAAGACTATAGCGGCAGTTTTGATGACCTTTGCCGCTAAAAGTCATTTTTTTTTGTAGTGTGACATCATACCGAAGTGTAGAGTTTTCTCCACACATGGCTTATGAAAATGAACTTGAATCAATTTTAATAACAATCTCATAGATTCTTGAAGGTACACAACATAATCAACAAGAATTGTAGTTTTCTAATATGCCATCTTGTGGATTTTAATCAATTGGTTCAATGATGACTTGATCTTCAAGGGGTGGCTTGTTTTGAGGTTCTTGTTCTAACATTATGGCATCTTGTGAATTATCTACAAATAACGCTTCTACATATGCAAGTGTAGTGAATAGAACCTACACTTCATCAAAAATTAGATTTCGTGACTATTCACTCTCACTAATGTCATCACCTTAATGAATTTTGCATTTATTGCTTTAAAAATACTTATATGGGAAGGACAACAGAACTTGTAACTCTTGCACCAAGCACCATTACATAGTGAATGAAATGCCCACTAGTTGTTTTGAAGTCAAACTTTTTTCTCTTGTGGATTGTATATCCTAACTTAAACAAGACAACCCCATATGTATACATGTCCTAAACTATGTTCAATAACTCAAAGGATGTTTTAAAAACTGCCTTAGTTGGAACCTTGTTAAGGATGTGCATCATAGTTTTCAAGGCTTCACTCCAAAGAGATAGTGGTAGAGAAGAATTGCTAATTGTGTTTCTTATCATTCCATTAATAGTAGTATTCTATGCCATGTTGATCTAACAATTGTGGCATTGTGTATTGCACAGTTATATCTTGTCCTTCAAGGAATTTGTCAAATGGACTAGGTTTTTGTTCTGAACCCATGTACCTCCCATAAAATTCTCTACACCTATTTTAATACATTTCCCTATTCATCTCTTTACTTCTGCTTTATAGGTTTTAAAAGCATCCAATGCTTCATCCCTTTCAAATAGCAGATGGAGAAACATAACTCGTGTATGGTTATTTAAAAATGAGATGTAGTACCTTTGACCATTTAAGTATGGACTGGAAAAAGGGTTCAAAAATATTAATGTGTATTTCCTTGTTTATTTCTCTATTTCTACTTTATATGTATTAAAAGTATCTAATCTTTGCACTTTTCAAATAGCAGATAGAGATACATAAATCGTGTATGATCATTTATAAATAAGATGATCTCATGTTTCTGTACTCCTAACACCTTTCTACTTTTATTAGTCTGTTTTCCTTTTATGCAATTTATACAACTATGAAAGTTAGAGAAAAACTTCATCAACTACTTTCTTTTTTTTTCGCTTCCTTTTGAAATAAATAAATAAATAAATTCCTTCCTGATGCTGCACGATCTGGGCACTCCTAGCTGGTTGTGACCTGGCTTCTGACTGGAACGAACGGCACCTGAGAGGAAGGAGAAAGTGAAGGGTTCCCGGGGAGATATCCCGGTGGGAACACTCCGACGGCTAAGTTAGAACTGGAGAAAATCTCAAAGAGAGAGTAGAGAGTAAGAGTGCTGAAAGTACTTAAGCTTCAATACCTTTTCCTGTGGGAGTTGGAGTTCTTTTATGTTGGAGCCCGGTCATACTTGGCATAACCGCCACTGCCCTAGCCGTTACTGCTAGGACAGGCGTGGCAGGCGCAGGTTGCCGCCACACACTGCCATCGCCAGGTACGGGCTTGACAGACGTGTCATGCTTCCTAGAGGCGGCAAACAGAACGCCGCCTGGCAGGCGGAAAGCCGTCTGGCAAGGGATCAGAGCCCTGCCACCGGGTCCGGCGGGTACGGATGTCAGACAGGGCTCCCCGCAACCTACCGAGCTGCCACGCACTGGACTGCCGGGGGCAGGTTTGCCCCGGTACCGAGGTGCCGAGATGCCTGCACTAGGGGCGGTGCTTCCCTGAGGTGTTCCTTCCTCGGGGCACTTGGCTAAAAACCGGGGTGCTCCCTCCTTGGGAAGGGAGAGCTCCAGGCCCCTTATGGGGAGATCAGGCCCCTTCCACACTTGGTGGGGGTCAGAATGGGCTAGGTGTCAGTCCCCGGCGAGTTGCTTAACTCGCCGAGTGGTCAGCGTTGGACTCGGCGTGTCTCTCCCGTTGAGTCGCGGTCGTGCTGTCAGGTTGAGTTGTTCTTCGGGCTAGGTCACATACACATGTCCCTGGGCTATGAGGTCGGGCCAAATCTCTCGTCATCAATTGCCCCCCACTCCCCGTGCTGGGGGTGGGGACCCAGTGCGGGGAGTTCATGATGCGCCGGGTGGATTTGGCTCAGTACTCATGCCATCCTATCGAGCGACTCGTTGGTCAGACCGATCAGGACTTTGCGGATGCCAAAAAATGCACTAAACCGATTTCACCTTGAGAGTCTCGTAATCGATTTTCTTGAGGACCGTCAGATCGCTTCGATCCTGACCGTTGGCGTTCGGGCCCAGCGGCTATAAATAGCGGGGGACCCTGGTCACTTTCTTTCGCCACTAAGTACTTTTCGTCTACTTTGAGCTCGCGTCTGGAGTCTTCAGCTCGGGTCTTCTAGTCTAGTTCATTCCCTCCTATGTCTAGCGAGGAAAATCTTTTAGACGAACCCGAGGTGGGTACCTCGGGTCAGGGTGACCTTGCCGTCGCCCGGCCTCCCCACGAGGCCCGGGTGACCTCGGGCAAACTGGCGTCTACCTCTCGTCGAGGTCGGGCGCCAGACCAGTTCGGTCCATCTGTCATGACGCTGGATTGGCTTTAGCATCTCATCTAACAAATCAACCTACCTCAGGAGTACTTGTATAGTATTCCCATCGGCAACTTCCCTTGGGAGCACGGTCCAGATGAGATCATGATCTTCAGGGAACAACTTGTCGACGGGCTTCGTCTCCCTCTCCACCACCTTATTCCCGAGGTGTTGAGGTGCTTCAGCATCACGTTGGACCAACTCCACCCCAACTCTATTCGGAACTTGGTCGGGACCATCTCCCTCTGTTCCGAACACAACTTCTCTTTAGACGCGGACATCCTTTGTTCCATCTTGTTAATAAAAAAGAGTGCCTCCGGCGCTCCCCCTGAGCATGGGCAGACCTACTATCTGTCTCCTCACCCGGGTTTCAAAATGCTACACAAGTTCCCAAGTAAGGTCCCAGCCTGGAAGCAGGACTACTTTGTAGTCCGGAGCAGCACAGGGTGGCCATTCCTTACCAACTAGAGGGTGGCCACTCAAGCTCCCAGCGTTGCTCTTAACCGGAAGACGTAGGAGACCTTTCACTCATGGGCTCAGGCCGGGTTCAATCATAGGGACTACGTTGCCGAAGGGAAGCTCATTCAGGCCGGATTGAGCGCGGGTAGGTCGATTTTCCACTTTAGCATTTTGCTTAATCAGTCAAGTGTCTTCAAACTTACTGATGCCGAGCTCTGTTGCAGGTCCCATGGAAGAAGAGAGGATCACCGGTCCGAGGCTCCTCCGTCAGATGAAGAAGAGGAAGAAGCGGGCTGCCAAGAAGGCACGCGTGGAATCCCTAGGGACCCCTACCCCTGAACCCGACCTTCCGCAAGCCCCCTCTTCGGGGCCCGAGCTCCCATAGGCCCTCGTTTCGGGGCCCGAGCTCTCCAATGCCCCTCAAGTGGTAGACTTGGAGGGGGACATACCACCTCGGGGGCCTGAAACGGCAGTAGAGTCGATCGCCGAGCCAGGCGGGGCTGCCGCTGAAGTCCCAAACCCTACTGGGGTTGCTGCCGAAGCTTCCAAAGGGTCGGCTCATCGTGCCACAGACACGGTGGCATCCAGCTCAGGGACCCAGGAGGAGGAAGAGAGCATCATGAATCTCGATGTCGGCCCTGACAGAAGTAGGAGAGCGGTTATCACGGTGGAGGTCGTAGATTGGGCCGAACTCTCCCCTGGTCAGCTCGGTACCCACGCCGCAACTCACGCCATGGTGGTGAGTTCACACCCTGAGAGCCACCTCTTCCTTCTTTCTTTCTTCTTTCTTCGGCACTGACCAACCCCCTTCTGCTAGGTGAACACTGCTGTGCATGTGCTGACCTTCCAGTCCGACAAACACCTAAGGCGTGCTTTGGCCACTAAGGAGTCATCTCGCGCGGCTCACACTGAGCTGAGGGCAGCTCAGGGCAAGATCCACCAGCTGGAGAGTGACGCTACCGCCCAGAAGAGCTTTATCGAGGCCCTGTTGTTGGAGAATGAGGAGCTGGCCCGCGAGAGGGATAGGCTGAAGGCCGAGGTGAACGGGCTCAGAGCGGGTCAAGAAGCCTTGAAGCTCGAGGTGGAGAGTCTCAAGGCGTGTCAGAGGGCTTCGCAGCTTGAGGTGTAGGGGCTTAAGGAAGCCAAGGGGGCCTTGGAGCATGAGCTGGAGTACCTCAAAGCCAACATCAAAGAGAAGACCGAGATCTTCGATGAAGCTCTCGGGGAGGTGAAGGCCCAGGCCGTTATCAACTATGCCAAGTCGTCTAGGTTTGACGACGTAATGTCGCAGGCCTATCGTAGGGGGTTCAAGCTCGACAGGTGGTGGATAAGGCACGCATACCCTGACCTTGACATAAGTGCCTTCACCACCTTTAGCATTACAGACGACATGGCCCGTCAGGCCGTGGATGACCCAGACTTTGACGATGAGGGCGGCAACGAGGAGGCCGATACTACCGACCTGGCTGACACCCCCGCGGAGGCCCCCAAAGAGGTCTCGAGCAAGGCTGATAAGTCTCTCAAATAGTTGTGTGTCACTCATATTTTCTTTTTCTTGTTTCTTTGTACTCGGGATTCTATAATGAAATTGCATTTATGCGACA